GTCGTCAACTCGTTTGTCATCACTCTTAAGGTAACGCTGCTCTCTTCGTATCTTGATCTTTTCTTCTTCGTCCTTCTTCTCCGATCTCTCTCTGCTCAGTCGCTCTCTCTCTACTCCTCTCAGTCTGATTTTTATTTGTTCTTTTATTTTTTTTCCTTTTATTATACTGAGTGATGTTGATCCCTCTCTCATCTCAATTTTTTTTTTTTCTATTTTCTTTTTTGTCTTACAATTTTTTTTTTTTCTTTATTTTCTTTTTTGATAATATATATAGATAATGATATTTTGAACAAAAAAAATCTTTTTTTTCCTCTTTTCTTTTTTTTCTATTTTTAGAATATTATTATTTGCTTAAGATAAATTATTTTTATTTATAGAAAATTTTAATTTGTGAATAATATTTGATATTAAAATAAATAAAATAATATTTTATATTTTTTAAATTTGTACATATAATAAAGTAATAATTATATAACTATTGAAACGTGTCCTTCGCGTGTCGTGTCCCCTATATTTTTTTGAAAATTTGCGTTTTTCCGTGTCCGTGTCGTGTCCCGTGTCTGTGTCCGTGCATCATAGATAGGCATCTATATTTGTCCTTGGAGGTTCTATCCCTCAAATTAGGGAGGTGCCATGTGTCCATTGGATGCCTTGGGGAATATTCCTCTCCTCATCCAGCTTGCTAAGTCCCGAGGAACCCAATCCCCTGGGGCATTCTCTACAGGAGAGTTACTCAGGGACTTGGTCTGCCCGAGGGTAACTCTTGGCTAGTCTTCCTTCCAAAGCTATCTCCTGCGGATAGCCAAATGGAAGAGGGTTTTCCAGCTGTCTCATCTTCCATTAACCTTTAGGCCAATACCGCATCATTGATCTCGCCACCCATCATCGTTGAGGCTAGTAAGACACATTGTGCACTACCGAAGGTCGGAACCTCCCGCTAGTCCCTGCCATTGCGACTTGGGGGTGAGCCATCTCCTGCTGATGTTGAGCCATCCTGAGTAGGCTTGTTGTCTATGAAAATGTACCCATCTCAAAGAGTAGATCAGCGGGGAAGAGGCTCTCCGGGGGTTTAGCCTTTTTGGCGTCACTGGACCGCGGAGGCAAGTAACGAACGCTGTCCAGGGGTTAGCCGCTTTGGTGTCACCAGGCTGGAGGCAAAGTAATGAACGCTCCTCAGGGGTTAGCCCCTTGGTGTCACCAAGCCTGGGGGCATGGGACGCCCATCTTCGAGAGAGTCGTCATTGTCTCGGGCAAAGCTCTCCAGGGTTTAGCCTTTTGGTGTCACCACCGCAAGAGGCATGGGTGGACCCATCTTTGAGGGAGCGTCACTGCCTCGGAAAGGCTCTTACGGGGCTCAGCCCTTTGGCGTGACCAAGCGTGGAGGAGAAAGGAGCTCTCTAGGAGCTAGCCTTTGGCATCAAAGACCGCAAAGGCAAAGTGATGAACGCTCATCCAGGGATTTAGCCCTTTGGCGTTACTCAGGCTAAGAGGCATGAGATGCCCATCTGCGAGAGGGTCGTCATCGCTCGAGTAAACTCTCCGAGGTCTAGCCCTTTGGCGTCACTAGGCACAGAGGCATGGGCGGACCCATCTTTGGGAGGATCGTGATCGTCCAGAATAATGATACGTGTATGAAGCCTGCTGGCGAAGTAGTTGTCTCTGATTGATCTTAATCTGTCCTCAAAGGAGTTTGTATCCTTCGCGGAAGGGATGAAATTGCTTGACGTTGAATTTTGCCTCCTAGGTTATTTGCCCACTTCTAAGAACTTCACAATGTTAGATGACTTGGCCGTCCTTCCTCCCTTGAATGAAGGTCTACATTGGGCTTGGGGTGTCAAAAAGGCTTGCTCATTGACTTAGGCTCTGATTTGGATTAATGGGCTTTGCTGTAGAAATTGCCCTACTCGTGGGTTTAACTCAAAGGAGTTTTGCAACTCTCTCCAAGAAACTTCCTCTCTAAGAAACTCCTGAGGAATTTGTGTATCTCTAAGGACTTTGCATTTGCTACAGGTGACTCTCTGAAAACTTTGACTTATTTCTGGCGGAAATTTGAACATTTCAAATTTTGGATACCTCCTCCCCACATTAACCAGTGCCTCCCCAAAATTTTTGGAAAGGGCTTAGGACCCCCTTCCAAACCCTCCCAACCAATGCCCCTGTATACAACGCAACATGGGCAACATAACGCAAGGGAATGGATTGAAAAGGGAATGGCTGGGTTGCCACCCTTGATACATTTAAATTACACAGATCATGATCTCTAAGATATTTTAAGAAAATTACCTATCCCCTAAGAACTCCCTCTACTATAGTAATGCTATATTTTTTTGGACAAAAATGCCCTTATAGGACTCTAGTGTTGAAACAAGACGACATATTTACAGTCAATTTTTCATATTGTGACATGAATTTCAAGAACCGTTAAAAAATTAGGAAAATTACAAAAAACTAATGCATTAAAAAAGTAAAAAAAAAAAAAAAAAAAAAACTCCAGGATTTGGCATGTTTTTCACATTAAATCCCAACATTTTAATTTTAACAATTTAAACTCTAAATTTTTAACTGTGTCCCAATGTTGACCCTCTATCTGTTTCCGTTTGTTTCTGTTAACTTTTTACACTTATTTGATACACGTGTCACTTTTTGATTCATCCATAATTATTATAATTATTTTATTTCTAAATTACTTTTTTTTCTATCAGCTCTCTCTCTCTCTCTCTCTCTCTCTCTCTTCTCCAGGATGAACGATCGTCGATCTCCGAATGCCCCATCACTGACCTCCGTCCATACCGCCCCTGCACTACCACAACATCTTTCACACCTCTCTCTCTCCCTCTCTCAACTCTCAATCGCCTTTTTCCTCAAATCCATATCAAAGCTCTCTGATCAAATTGGTTCGCCAGAGTGGCTGGGCACGTCGGAGTGAGAAAGCAAGGGAGAAAAGCAGCCGGACAAAAGCACTACCAAAACCCTTTCCTTCTTCCCCAAAACCCTAAGAACCTATAATCCCGTTCCTTCTTCCCCAAAACCCTAAGACCCCATAATCGTTTGATCATTTGATTTGGAATTGAAGGAAGCTCTTTCGACCGTTGCGGTAGTTGAGAAGTGCACGGCAGAAGAGGGACGGGTTTGCCTATGCGTCTACCGTCTCTGATGATGGAATTGTGGCGGTCCATGGTTCGTCCGCCGCCTCCACCACCGCTGAGATGAATGGTGGAGGACGGCGATGATGAGAGGAGAGAGAGAGAGAGAGAGAGAGAGAGAGAGAGAGACGGAGAGACAGAGAGAGAGTGGGACTTATGTGGAGTTGCAAGTGGCCGTAAGAGGTGGTGATCGGTAGTAGGGATCGACGAACGGCGACGGCGGCAACAACTGAAGAGAGTGAGAGAGAGAGAGAGCATTGATAGAAAAAAAAATGGGACTGATTGATGACAGAGGGAAGAGAAGACAGGGTGGGAAGAGAAGAGAGGGTGAGAAGAGAGGGTTGGAATAATTTTAGAATAAAATAATTATAATAATTATGGACAAATCAAAAAGTGACACGTGTATCAAATAAGTATAAAAAGTTAACAGAAACAAACGAAAACAGAGGGTCAATATTGGGACACAATTAAAATTCAAGGATTAAATTGTTCAAATTAAAATGTTGGGGTTTAATATGAAAAACACGCCAAACCCTGAGGGTTTTTTTTGTAATTTTTCCTAAAAAATTTAATAACTTTTATCTAGATCTTTGTTTTTCATAAAAATATAAAACAAGACCTATGATGAATATGATATTCTAAAGAAAAAAATTGTCAAAATTTTTAGTTTGCTATCTTCGGATAGTAAAATTTCACTGGCTAAAATTCAATGAAATTTCACTGTCATTGACTAAAAGCCAATGAAATTTCAATCTTCTTAAAAAAATTTAGGTTGTTTGGTTAGGTGTTCCAAACACATTTCCACCCACTGATTTGAGTGTGATGTTTGTTTTGAGTTTTCAAATTATAATTCCACACCCACTTTTGAAAACTCCTTTCCAGGAGAGAAAATTTGGCTAACCCGATCGTCCTCCCAGACTTTCGGCCGGTTGACAGGAACAGGTTTTTTTTTTTTTTCCGCACCTGTTATTTTTATATTGTAAATAAAAAATATTTTCAATTTTTTTTTTAATTTTTATAAGAGTTTTGAATAGAATTTTAAGCTGTGTGTTTGGTTATGAGTTATAAGTTTTTAAATCAAATAACTTTTCTAATTTCAAAAACTCAAAACTCTCTCCAAAACTCAATTCAAAACTCTTTTCAAAACTCATAATCAAATAAATTTTTCACACTCAAATCATAATTCTAAAACTCACAAACTCAAAATATAACTCTATTCTTAAACCATATTTAGAAAACTCTACCAAACGTTACCTTACTCTTTTTTATAGTGAAATTTTCAATTAAGGGTTAAATTGAGGGCTAATTCAAAAAATTATGTACTTATTTTTATAGCGTGGTTTGATATGTTGAGTGCTTTAAATCATAACATTGTTTGATTATTTGCACAATTTTCTTCCCATAATCTATGACATCTGCAAGGGTAAAGATTGCAACAAAAAACTTTATTCAAGATCTCTGGAAGCTTGTTGCATAAACTAATCGAGTCAGAGATGGATAATTTCATTGCCTTCAACTTAGGAAAATAGATTCTATTTCATTCTTCGCTTGGTGGAAGTGGAACATGCTAATGTAAATTCATTTTGATGGATTTACAAGATATGTTAAGCATGTATATATGTTCTTGTATGTATACATATGAATATATATAGATATATCAAAGGAGAGAAGTAACAAGAGATGAGAAGATTTTCCTCCATGAAGATCTATTTTTAATGAGATCCAAAGATCGTGCCTATAGTTCTTCAATCACAGTTCAATGATATACATTGTTGATGATATAGGGCAATTAGGAAGAAAAAACAGAAGCGTTGAATGTGTACCTATTTTCTATAGGTGTAAAGTAAGCATATTCACCTCAATTTTAAGCATCCTCAATAAAGGAGACGCCCTTAGCAGGTATGCACAAAGGAGCATAGAGACGCCAGGATTGAGCATCAATTCCAACTGCCTGAGATTCCTCAACTTGGGAAATCTAGGGAAGTACCTCAACTTCTAGACAATTCAACCAAAAGTCAAGACAAAAAATATTAATAAGCTTATCATTTTTTAGAACAACACCCCCCCCCCCCAAAAAAAACCCCCCCCAAAAAAAAAAAGAACAAAAAGAAAACAAATAAATGAGACACATACAACAAACACATGGAATCACATGCTAACCTTAAGTCCCCAACTCAAGTTCAATTCAAGTGTCTCTAGTTGAAGGAGATAGCTTGAAACCTGTATAAAGTTCTTAACAATATAGCGAGCATAAGGCCCATCAAAAGATGCCTTAACAAGATGCGGAGTGTTTTTAAAGGCAATGTAGGCCTTTAGTCCGCTGTATTTAAACGACACTAGATTTGCATCATAAATATCAACACTTTTCAAAGAGAAGCAACCTTCGATCTCTAAGTACTTTAGCTTCAATGAAGGCCCAGAAACTACAAAATTTACCAAAGATCGTGAATGCAATATAGATAACTCTTCAAGCAATGGGCAAACGAACAAAATGTATTCCAAAACTTCCCTTGTCACATCTACATGGCACAGATAGAGGCTCGTTAGGGAATCAAGTCTGTGATAATGAAGAATATGAGCAGTAAGAGGGTAATTCCAATTCCCATTTGTCCAGGTACATCTAAAGTTGAACTTGAGCCTTTTAACTCTCTTTCGAAAGGCAAAGTTGATCCAACCATCAATATCACTTTTAAAGATATTATCATCCAAACAAAATTGAATGCTGAATTCATCAATAATCATACCACGATGAAACTTCAAGATATGATTAACCCAATCAACAAATTGCCTGCATTTAAGACCAAATAACTTATCTTCATGATCCACTATCCGCCAATCGCAAAATTTGAATATCAAACTACTAGTGAATGTCCACAAATATCTCCATCTGCGAGCTAGGGCACTAGTTCTTGCTGCTTGTTCAATTTCCAACCGAGACAAAATGGAAACGAGAATTCCATCGGGCAAGTAACTAATTAGGTCCTTTAGGCAGATGCTTGTCCAACCACACTAACAATAGTTCCAGAAAGAAAAGAAAAAATTACAATTTAACACAAGTTAGCAATAGCTACACAAATTTGTTACTTTTTTTTTTTACATAATTTGCTAAACAACTTAAAGCATGGCAATGGTGTATAAAGGGGCTGTTTGGTGCAACTTCTAGAGCAACTTATAGTTTTTTTGATTTGGAAATTTGTGCCAGTGTTTGATGTAACTTCTGCTTACAATATTTTAGGCAAAATAACTTAAATAAACTGGAAAAAAAACAAAACAAAACAAAACAAAAAACACTAATTATTGAGTTGTTTTAAGTTTGTGCTTCTAGTTATCAACTTTCAGCTTGCTAGAAGTTGCACCAAACAAGCTCGAATTCTAGTAACATTATATCAATCCAAACTTGAACAACTTCATATGGGTAAATTTTATTAGAGTTAATTATACTTTATCCCTCGGGGATTGTTCCTAAAACACTTACTCCTTGAGATTTAAAATGTACACAACTCCATTGTGGATTGGATTAAAGTGCTCAGCCTAAATCCTTCAATGATTTTCACAAAAAGTCAAAATTACCCTTATTTTTTCCTCTAATTTTCTTCTCTATGCCATTGCACGACAGTCTCTCCTCTATCTCTCTCTAGAAATTGAACAACATCACAACCCTTCCCAAACCCACTTATTTTTAAAAAATAAAAATGATTCAAGTGTCATGCACATAACAATTTGCAGATAAAAGGTTTAGAGAGACAGATCAAGCATCCAAGAACAACAGGTTGAGCTTATACAATTTTATTATATATAATCGGGTGCTTCTAAAAACTACTGTTAGTTTTGCATTTTACTCCAAATCACGAAAATTATGTTCATATTTTTTAAGGAGGTAAAATGTAATCAAACAGGATCAATGACTTAAGTAACTAAAGGATAAAAGTACCTCCATCTTCTCCCGTATCGCGGTGGTCCGGCTCAGATCGCGGTAGTTTGATCGCGGTGGTCCGGCTCAGATCGCGGTAGTTTGATCGCGGTGGTCCGGCTCAGATCGCGGTAGTTTGATCGCGGTGGTCCGGCTCAGATCGCGGTAGTTTGATCGCGGTGGTCCGGCTCAGATCGCGGTAGTTTGATCGCGGTGGTCCGGCTCAGATCGCGGTAGTTTGATCGCGGTGGTCCGGCTCAGATCGCGGTGCTTCACGTTCCCGTCCGCCAGCGACGCTACCTACGCCGGAGACCTGACGGACGACGGCCCAGACACTTCGCCGTCAGTGGTATGTCTGTGCATTGGTGATTCGAAACCCTAGAGATTGTAAGATACTGGTGTTTGATTCGAAACCATAGAGATATGTTTTGGTGTTTGATAGATATCTTGTCGACTGTCTTATACAAACTTGTAAATAAGGACTCGTGTCTTATACAAACTTGTAAATAAGGACTCGTAAAGGACTTGGTCTAAATCTGATTGGTCTAAATCTGTTATTAGGAATGGCAATGGGGCAATGGGGTGGATATTAATTCTCCATTCCCATTCCCCTATAATAAATTTTTCCTATTCCCCATTCCCCATTCCCCATGGGTACCACCCTCCTATGGGTACCACCCTCCTCATTTTTTAATCGGTATGGATTTTTCCCAACCCACTTTAATTCCCATTTTTATTTTTTATATTTAATGTTAACAACCACTTTTTTTTTTTTTTTAAGGTTCACAACAAAAACTAAATATACCTTCAATCTTTTTTCTTTTTTTTTTAATATATTTAGTGTTAACATTTTTTTTTTTTTTTTAAGGTTCACAACAAAAGTTAAATATAGAAAAGAAAATTGACAAATTTTATATAAAAAAGAGTAAACTACCGGTAAGTTTTAATAGTTTGACTTAATTTCTATGACTTTTCTTAAGTGTGCAACTTACACCTTACACTTACGCCTTTCTGTTTGCTATCCTGTTTTATGTTTACACCTTTCACTTACACTTTTCTATTGAAAGTCAGACCTAGTAAAAATAATAACTCTTTGTGATGCCTTTTTGCTGACTTTTCTTTGTCACGATTATTATAAATTGTTACTAAAACTTATAATTAGTGATATTTTTATGTGACAAATTTTTCAATTTATCATTAAAAGTTAAAAATTAGTAACTTTTTTTGTGATATTTTTTTAAACTATCACTAAAACTTATAATTAGTGATATTTTTTTTTTTGACAAAATTGTCAAACTGTCACTGAAAATTAATTATTAGTGATATTTTTAATAGAGTTTAATAAAAAAATGCCGTTAATTATTATAGGATCTATTGAATAATCAGTCTATCTATCAGGACCAACACGTAAGTTTTCTTATAAAAATTTTTTTAAGAAAATTTATATTTGCATGGCCTTACCTTTTTTCCAAACAAAATAGATGGATCCTCTGGCAATACTAGAAATGGAGCTGTTTTGTTTAGGGTTGTTCTCACCTGGGCCTTTATGCTAGGGTGGACAAATCTCAGGTGAGACGGGACTTACATTGTATAGTAAGAGAATATATGTTATCCTAAGTTCGGTCTGGCTTAGCCCGACCTAACATAGAGGAGTTTGGGAATACAACAACTGACTAAAAGCCCCTCGCGCACAAGCCCACCTCAGCACAAAACCTTCCACCAGCAACATATTCATTCTCACAACCACTTTAGAACCAGCAGCTATTGTACTGCAATTGTGATCCAAAAGAATGGTACCACTAACCATCATTTTAAAAATAAATAAATAAATGTAAAAATATATTTTAGTACAAACGCAGAATGGGAGAAATAATGGATAACTTACAAGGATGAACAGAAATGAATAACTACGTAAATGATTTACTGTAAGAAATAATGTATAGAGAAAGAGAGAATAAATTGTATGTATTATTATTGATTGATATATTGATATCTATTACAATGATTCATGAGTGTTCTAATACAGAGTCCTGAAAATGTGTGTGTTGTGAGGGAAGGAAATGAATAATATACTTTTATATGGGTTGCTTTGGCTGGGTGATTATTGATTCGCGGAGCATGGATACACAATATTTTAAAAAGTTTTGACGGATAGAAAATGATTAAAATTTATGATTTATGTTAGGGATAAAAAATAATATAAAATTAAATAATTAATAATTAATTTAAAATATGACAACGTAATATTGTGAAATTATTGAATAATTTCCATAGCTGCTGACAAACACATGATTAATGTCTTTATGTCATGCCCAACACTACGGCAACACCCTTGCTGTGCTGTGCTGTCCAACATTATTGAATAGATATAAATTTAGTTAAATTATATTGACACTTCTTAATATTTATATTTATTACAGTTCTTTTCTTACATTTTAAAAATTATATACCGTTCTTAGATGTTTAAAGTTTCATTATAGATTGTTTTATGAAATTTAAAGTTTCATAACAGTTTCCCCCCTCACCGTAATGATCATCATACATAAAATTAAATTAACAGGGGGTTAGTGTAATTTTTCAAATGTGAGGGACGGAACTGTAATAAACATAAATCTCAGGGGGTGTCAGTGTAATTTACCCAAAAGATTAAAACTTTGATAGAATTTTATATTTAAAAAAAAATTGGTTGTGAACCTGAAAAAATAAATAAATAAATAAAAGAAAAAAGATTGAATGTATATTTAGTTTTAGTTGTGAATCTTAATATATATATATGGGGATATTAGTGGGTACCCATTCCCAACCCATCCCATGTGGATATTTAAAGAATATCACCTATCCTACCCAATGGATAAGAAAAAGAGGGGAAAACCCATGTATTTGGGTTGGGTCTCCATGGATACCCACAGGGTAGGTTATCCATTGCCATCCCTATCTGTTATTTTACAAAAAGTTAAAAGGAAAAATGAAGAGAGCTCGAAAGTACTAAATTAAAATTTTTGATTTTATGATTTTCTTTTAAAATTAAGAAATACATGTGTGATAAAACCAGAGCCGGCCCAGAGAGTTAGGGAGCTGAGGTGAATTTCGAATATGGGGTCCTCTTATATTGAAAAAAAAATTATAAATAAAACAATAAGTTACAACTTTTTTATTTATTTGTAACTAAAAAAAATTTACCTGCACATATAATCGTTAAAAGTATAAATAAAAATTTACTTTCATATATTAAGATAGGAAGTAGGGGTAGGCGGGGGTCGGTTACGGTCACGGAACCTTTAATCCGCCATTCATCCGCCAGATTGGCGGATTGGAGAAAATCAATCCGCATCCATTTGCCAATCTGGCGGATATGGATTGAGCGGATTGGCGGATGGATGCGATTGGTTTAGCGATTTAAAATTTTATAAATTTTTAACATAATTCAACTTGTGCACTTCCTAAAAAAAAAAATACGGAAATGCTACAGACCCCCACCATTTTGGCACCCCCAGCACCCCCAGTGCCACATGGGGGGCTGCCAATGGCCAAACACAAAGAAAAAAAAAAAAAAAAAAAACTGTTTTTTCAACCAATCACAATGGACCCCCAGCACCCCCACTGGGGGTCCCAAGCTTTATTCAAAAAAATATTACTGTCAATGACTTAAAAAAGTATTACAATCACTACATGCCTCATCCAAATAAAGAAAGTTTGAAACTTTAGAATATTACAATCACTGCATACCCCATCTACATAAAGTATTACAACATGTGGTTCTTAAAATATAAAAATAATTCAAACCACTAAAATCATGAACAGAGTAATAGTAAAGATTGTATGCATTTGTATTGTTACATCTATATCTATTTTTTAAAACAAAAACCAAACAACATATATCATCTTTTTTATTTATTATTTTTAAAGTTAGATTTAATAACCAAAAAATATAAATAAATAATATATTTATTTTTTTCAATTCAAAAAATATATTCAAGTTAAAAATTCTTTTTCAACAGAATATATTTAACATAATATTTAAGTTCTTTTTCAATTGAAAACACAAATAGAATATCTAAATAAATTGAAAACACAAAATTTTACAAATTACTAGGGGTGCCCGTGATTTGGCGGTTTGGTTGCGGCCAAAGGAACTTCAAATCCGTCATCCGTCCAAAAGTAGGTGGATTGGAAAAAATAATCCGCAACTGAGAACCTCAAATCCGCCATCCGTCCAAAACTAGGCGGATTGAAAAAAATCAATCCGCAACCGTCCGCTCATCAGCACGCATCCGTCCAAAATGCGACAGATTGGTTCAATTCGGTCGGTTTGGGCGAATCGGTATATCCACTGCTCACCCTTAATAAGAAGTAATCATTACAAATACTTCAAATATATATATATATATATAGTCTTGTTGCCTTTTTTTTGGCCCTATGTTCAATTGGGCTTATAATATTTAAACTTTTTTTTTATATCTAAAACATAAAATTATATTTGGGACCCCTATTTTCAACCCAAATATGGGGCCCAAGGCGCAGGCCTCTCTTGCCTGCCCTCAGGGCCGGCCCTTAATAAAACTATTGGTTCATCTATCCCATTTAATTTAAAATTTTAAAAATATTTATATGGAAATTAGAAATTTTCTAAATTTATAATTTTTTATAAAAAAAATCAAAATATAGAATTTTATAATTTTATGGAACATTTAGTGGGTCATCTTGCCACATTTAATTTAAAATTTTGAAAATCTTTATAGGAAAAGTCCAAAAGAAAATTGTAATCATATCTATACCATATCAAATTTAAAATTTAAAAATTATTAGCGCAATTCAAAATATTAATTTAAATTATTAATTTTTTATTTTTAAAATTTTAATATATATTGGCTCATCTAAATCATATCTAATTTGAAATTTTAAAAATATTTGGATGAAAAGTTCAAAATATTTAAGCCAAATCTAGTTTAAAAATTAAAATTTTTTAAATAGAATTTTGAAAATGCTATGGACTTTTTTGCACATCTTTACACTTTACTTTCAACTATTTGAATAAAAAAACATATAAATTTTAATTTTTGAAGGGATGT